AAATCCTAAAGCCTTGAAACCTAAACCTTGAACCCCGACCTAGGCCCCTAACCCTGAGCCCTAACCCGAACCCCAAAAGTATGTAAACTAATGGCCTTTATGGCTATTATTGGGGGTTTAGGGCTATTACTTTACATACTTTTAAGGTTATCAGATAAGTGTTACAAAGGGGTAATATAGGGGTTATAGGGGTTATATGGGGATATAGGATACAAGGGTTATATAGGGGTAATATGCGGGTAATATAGGGGTTATATAGGGGATATAGGATATAAGGGTTATATAAGGGGAAAATGCGGGTAATATAGGGGTTATATAGGGGTAATATGCGGGTAATATAGGGGTTATATAGAGGTTATCTAGGGGATATAATAGAGGTTACCTGGCGCGCCTTCTCTGTGCAAGCACGAAGCTAGGGGGCGTCTTGGATCCCAGTTGAAAGGCCTCACTCACACCGTTGGTCTTTGACATTTCCTCAACCACCGTCATGCAATCAAACTGCGTCGGCTCCAAACCACCAGCATCACTAACGGTCTCCGGAGTCACAGCTGCGCACGCTCCAGCGGCTGCATTTTCATGTGCAGATTCACTTGCACATCCACCACCACCGTTTAGGGTTTAAAGTTTAAAGTTTAGGGTTTAGGATTTAGGCTTTAAGGTTTAGGGTTCAGGGCTAAGGATTTAGGGATGAAGGTTTAGGGTGCAAGGTTAAGGCTTCAGGATTTAGGGTTCGAGGTTTAGGGCTTAGGAGTGACGGGTTTAGGGTTAATATCCCCAATATAGTCCTTAATAGACTACAGCAGTTTCCATGTTCTTTTCAATTATCCCCTATAACACGTAAGCCGAAAATGTGTCCTGAACCCTAGTAATTAGAGTCTACGAATTTAGCTTGGTAGGGGATCAAAGATGGACACTGCAATATTCTTCAAGATTTATGGTGGCCAGTTTCATGCGTATTGGTTTGCTGATGAGGAGCTTAACTTAAGCCTCCATAGGGTTTAGGGTTTATACTATGGATACATGATATACAATAAAAAAAACATGGCTTCATTAGGATGATCACTCAGTTCAAGTTCCTTCACAGCAGCCCAGCTAGGGTGGCTACCAGCCAACAGGTAATGGATCCCTATCTTCGTCCCCTTAGTCCCGTAGTTCCCTGCTAACCTCCTCTAAGTTCGGCTTTGGGGTTTTGCTGCCAGATTGCGACATAATTGTCGGCTACCAGCACATGTACATGTCTGGCTCTGTGAGAGGATCTGCTAGCTGTGGATATTCATAGGAGCTATAGTCTAAACTCCTTATCCTCCTTAATATTCCCTATAACGCTCCCCTATATAATCCCGTATATAGTGTAAACCCCCCTGAGCAGTTTAGACTATAGCTCATAGAAGTCTGCTTCCCTGCCTTCACTGCTCGGTCGGCCGAACGAACATCATAGAAGACGACCTCTCATAGGGATCCACTATTTCTCATTTAGATGGTTTTGGCTTTTCGTGGTGAAGGACCGCTCATGCCTGAACAAAGCTGTCGAACTTCTCCAAGCGCTGAACACGGGAAACCTGCCCATGCCAGCATCAGAGGGGTTCAGCTGAATTAGTCCCCCTTAAGCAGATAGAACATGGTGAGTATGGAGATCTTGCTATGGTTTTGGGAAATTGCATTTTCTATCTACTTAGGGGGGCTACTATTCAATAAGCAGGAGCCCTATGTCCATAAAACCCTACTCCCTAAACTCTAAACCCTAACCTCCTGACCCAATCCCTAAACTCTGAACCTTAAACCCTAAGCACTAAAGCCTAACCCCCAAACCCTATACACCTAAACCCCAAATAGGAGTTTCCATTTTATTTTCCATTGTCCCAATGTCCCAATATAACCCGAATATTACCCCAATGGGTACTGGCATACCGCGCCTCACCGAAGTTTTCAAAAGCCACCTTTGCAGCATCCAGAGCCATCCCGGCGGGCAGGGGCTGGCAGTGACAAATGAGCAGCTTCAGGGCTACCATTGGGGTATAGTATTGGGGTATAATGTCGAGGTAACATTGGGGTAGATATTGAGTAACATTGGGGGCAATCTTGGGGTTATATAGGGATAGTGGAAAAGAACATGGAAACTACTGTTCAGGGTTATGAGTCTAGGGTTTAGGGTTGGTTTAGGCTGGGTTTAGGGTTTGGGGTGGGTTTTGGGTTTTGGATGGGTTTAGGGATTAGGGTGGGGATATATAGGTGTATGTAGGCTTATTGGGGCACACAAGGGTGTATTGGCGTGTAAGGGAGAGTGAGATGGAAAAGAAGATGGAACATGACATGGAAACTACCAGAATATTGGAGAATCAAATGGAAAGGACGACCATGGAACATGAAATGGAAACTGCTGCTGTCTAAGGCTTAGGGCTTTATAAAGCGGCAGTGAAATCCTGCGCATCAAACAGGCGCGCTGGCCGCAATGACGCTGTTCGTGAGGATCATCTCAACGTCGGCAACCTTGAACAACCATGTGCAATATAGAAATTAGGAGGGCCCCCCACCCTGTAATAGTGGCATAATAGGATAGGAATATAAGAGGACCCTAACATAATCCTTGTTATCCCTTATAGCCACTATTTCAGGGTGGGGGGTCCGCTAAATAAGAATCACTAATATCACTTTGGGGTCTACTTGACATATTATAAGGAATCCAGGAACCACATTACCGGAAATCGTTTAATTTAGGTCAACTACATTGCACAATCCCTATAGAACCCCATTCTCCATTTAATTTTCCATTTGACTCTCCATTCTTGGGGAAGTGTACCTGAGCCCTAAAGCCTGAATCCTAGTGTCCATTTCATGTTCCATCTTCTTTTCCACTTGATTCTCCATTGTTGGGACAGGGTTCCCAGTATTCCCTGAACATGCGAAGGATCCCGAAACCCCAAACCCTGAACCCTAAACCCCAAACCCTGAACCTTGAACCCTAAATCCTAAACCCCCAATCCTAGACCCTAAACCCTAAACCCCAAACCCCAAACCCTAAACCCCAAACCCCAAACCCTAAACCCCAAACCCTAAACCCTAAAGATCAGGTCTGGCCTGGAAGATGGTCACAAATTCGCTGTGCTTGCCTCGGGATGGGAAGCAAAGGACTCTTCTTACTCTTCAGGGTTCAGGGTAAAAAAACGGAAGCTCTTCCATCATTACCATTGGGGATAGAATAAAGGCTGCGATAAGGATCTCTTCATTCATTGTTGGCGAATCAGAGGCAAGTCTTGCCCCTAAACTCTAAACCCTGAACCGCATCAATTCGCGCTAAGTCTCTGAATCGATCAGCGCAGTGGTGCGGACCACTGCGGGGGTAGCAGGCGGCACTGAACCACTAGCTTTATGGGTGGCCAAAATGGCTGCGCATCGCTCACGGCTCTTCGTACGTTCCTGGCTTTTAGTAGGGAATAAGGGAATATGTGTGACGTAGGGACTATATAAGGATTGTACTATCTTATTCCCTACTAAGAACCAGTAAGTTACGCCTCAGCAGTATTGTGCGCAGGCGTGGCAGCAAACAGTTCTTCTAACCTCTCATGGCGCGCGCGCGACTAATGTTTTTACGTCCCAGGCACCAGTTCACGCAAGTTTTCTGCTAAGCCTTGGCCCCCTTGGCACAAGGACCCTGAACTATCTTCAAGAAATGAGACACATGTTGGTACACCTATCCGTACATCGATCGGAGGCTGGAGCCGCCTGCCTGGAGCTCTGCTCGAAGGAAAGTACATGACTGGCCTCGCTCTCAGCAAAGCTTCGGCGGATGACAGCGCCCTGGGCTAAGCGACTCTCTCGCTTCTGGAAGGACTCTGAGGCGCGGCGGGCAACCCTGTCGGGTGACACCTCTTCCTCAGATTCATCACCGCCCTTCCACTCTTTCTTCTGGTCAACTACTTCAACCTGCTGGTCGCCCAGGATCTTGTCGTCCTTTAGGCTCACCGCCGCCATGGATAGCCGCTTCTCGCGGGCTTCGAATGACCTGGAAGCGTGCTTCTCGATGGGCTTGTCCTCATCGGAATCCTCTGCGCCGGCCCACTCCTTTGGCTCATTCACGAGCGGAAGCTCGCTGGACAATCGCCGGCCTTCGCCAGGAGTCGTCCCTACAGCCATGCTGCTGCAGAGTATCAAAGAGGCTGGCCGCAAGCGTGCCTCTTCCTGTCCGCTTTGCCCAGGTCAGGATAGATTTTGAGCCGAGTATGGGCTGCCAAGCGGACACCCAAAATACATGCATTCCTGTTGCCTAACTGGAGCCATCAACCATGCCGCTATCACGCTATCTCATCTACCTCCGCCTGCCTTTCGGTTTCCGAAGATGGCTGGGGTTTGTGCACCGAGACTGCAATACTGCTCTTCAGCACTGCATCTAGCCAGTGAAACACCGAGTGAACCGCTGGACCATAAAACTTGTTGGCTGGCCAAGCTTGTTGAATGTTGCGCTGCTATGTGATCATTTCCCCTTGCGTATGTAGTGCATGCTTACAAACCAGCATCCTGTTGTGAAGCGCGCCCGCATGAGACTCTCTCAGCCGACCGCGACTCCGTTGGCGCTGATCATGCTGCTGAGTGTCCCCTAGCAGTCTTGCTGGCTGCTTTGCGTGGCTTGTCAGAATTGCAGAGCAATGGATAATGCATGACCCTGCGCTCGGCTGCTGGCAGTCGCCCCGTACTGGCTTCGCTCTGGATCATGTACCTAAACGACACTGCTTGAATTTGGTTGTTGGCTTCTTGACCGCTGAGGACCGCGCCTGCGAGTGAGTAATGGTGGGTTGGTATGCTCTTTTCCGGGCGTCGAAGTCCTGACCCAACAAGTGGAATAGTCTGGAACTTAACTTATCCTCTCGTGACAACTTCCTAAAATTGAGGGTGCCCTCTTATCCTTAAAAACATCATAGTCCTCACTATGGAAACCTCATAAAAAGAATCTATACCTCCAAGAGCTCTGCAAATAAACTTTAGAACATCCCCACATCATAGTCTCAAAGGCCTTGCATAGACCCTGCCAAAACCAAACTCAAGTAAAAACCCCCACCTCTCACAAACCCATTCTATCACAAGGGCCCCCCCTCTTTTGAGACGCACCAAGCAGCTCAAGAGGTCCTGGCAGGAAACCAAGCGCCCGTTCTGCCACTTCCTGGTGCTGATGCGGCCATCCTGATGCAAGCGCAATGCTTGGTCCGACATAGGGAAATTTCTTGAAACGTGCCTTTCTGGCAGTTTGTACGGATGTTGCAAAGATGTACGGGTTTTCAGGTCAGGTGTAGTTTGGCGGGCTTTTCTGAAAGGGAGGACACTGAGTGTGCAACTTAAGATCGCAAAAACGTGGGTACCCGCCTTGTAGTAGAAGGTCCCGCTGAGCTTCACGCCCTTGTCCCAAAGACCCATAAACTCATCGCCGTTTGCGTAGATGTACTTACCTCTGTCCTGCGCATGAATCTGAGTGCATTGGTCTTATGGGTTTAAGTAATCTTCGGCAAATGTGCCTGAAACCGACCTTCTGCCCAGTCGCCCTCGTAAGAATCTCCTGCGTGGAGAGCACATGCCCCAAGGCCAATAAGCTAAACTAATGCCATGCCACAACTCTGTGAATTCACTTGAAGCTCTCTCAAAATCATGGGCTCTGAGATCGATTGCATATTCTTCCAAAAATGCAATGTTGATAATGCACAGCTACATCCGCAGGCCCACAATTTTGCAAAATGATCGCATTCAAACGCTGGTGGAGTCCGTTAGCCAATTTCATGATGCCGAAGCCGTGCTTCTTGCCGCGCTGAAGTCAAGCGGTCATTGGCATTTGCAATGCAATCACAGCGCCCATGCTGCAACTGAAAGGTTCGCAAGGCAAAATATGTTAAATATATTCCCCTGTATAACCCCCCTTCAAGGAGTTTAGACTATTCAAATGTTGCAATGGCCCTTGCCGGTCGCATCGGCCGCGCCTTCCAGTCTCCAACGTAACTCTCACAGGATGGCTCTGCAGCCTGTCTCAAAGACACATCCATGGTTGTCCTTATATAGCCTGTGCTGTTCATGATTCTTCCGCTTGTTTCAAGAACGTTTATTCTGGTGCTGTGGTCATGTGCTCGGCCGTTTCATGCCCCCCTTCACTCTGTCATTGTTGTTGTGCGCCTGACGTTTGTCAGTTGTTTTTTTGCAGCTGTTGTGATTAAGGTGGTTGGCATGACTATTCAAATGAGGTATCGTCTAAAGTCCTACAAGTAGTATCCCCCTTACACACCCTATAATACTCACCTTCAAAATCCACACCCCCCTTAAAGGAGTGTAGACTATTCACATGTTTCTGAGGTTTACGGTTGTTGACCTTTGTGAGGGTGTGATGATTGCAGCCAGTACGGCTCATCGGAGTACGACTATTCTGCCGATTCTGCTCACAATTCTGGTTCTTATGCTGAAGAGGATGGCCATCCAGACAATTGTGATCGTCTGTGGTGACTGCTGCTTAGCGTGGATGCATCTGTGGTCGTTATCGTTACCCGTCACTATGGCATTTGGAATTTGTCAGACTGTCATTACTTTGGTGGTGTGTTGTGGCCGTTGTGATGGCTATGAGTACTATGGCTGCTGTGCTTGAAGAGGTTGATTGTAGTCAGGATAGTATAACTATGACCATGATTTGGTTCCCATAGGCCTTTTGTAATTAATCAGCTAAGCTAACCTTTGTTTTGACAGGGCTGATGGCATTGATCTTCTGCTTTCTTTCATTCATGCACTTTGAGCTTTATGTTTGCTCTGCTCATTCGGAACGTACATTCATTAACTTAGTATGGATATGAGGGGTGCTTGACCTGACGACCATGAGTGTCATGCTGGTCTGGCTACACTGGCTCCGGCTGTTGTTGAGGCGAAGACCTTCCATTCGCCGTGACCGTGCGGCAGGCCGTCCTAGCTTTGCAATGCAGCAAGATAATAACAATAACAGTAGTATCAATAATAACAATAATAACAAATAATAACAATAATAGTAATGATTATAATAATGATAATAATAGCAATACTGAAAACTAGTATTTCATAATAGCAACAATAAGAACAACAATAAGAACCTGTTGCGAAGCATGGTGGGGCTGACTAAGTACAGGATGATGGATGTCTATACGAGTGGTTGTCAAAATTATGGTCCCTTTTTGGATCCCTATTATAATACGGCACCTAATATTTAGGGTACCCAAAAGGGACCATAATTTTGACAACCACCCATATGAATCGACATGCATGATGGCACCGTTTGGGTGCCTTGCAGTAACAACTCGAGATAGGGCAGAAACACCAGGAAACACCTTTTCAAAAACCTTCCTGATTCTTGTGAACTTCCCAGGTCCTTCCACTCGCCTGTGTAGGAAGACCCATCCGGATTGATCCGCACCTGGCAAAGGACCCTAAACCCCCAAGGGTTTAGGGTTCAGGGTTTAGCAGTGTTCAACAGCTGGTGTAAGAGTTGAGGTGCAGTTCATGAACACAAGGACTTCGTCCTGGCCCCATACAATGGATTTTGGTAACGCCAACCCCTTCCCCCAAAAAACACACACACACAACACAAATTATCAAACGATTGCAATCTAAGGTTGAACGCATGGGCCCCTAGTATTGCCCTTATCCCAAGCGGCCCTAAGCCCTAAAACCCTAAACCCTAATTGTTCGGGCTTGGGATTACCCACGCTCCTCTTGTTTCATAAGGAGTGCATGAGGAATCAAGCCAGGGATGCACCAGGGCCCTTGGGAATGGGACCTTCTGCGTGAGGATCACCCTGAAAACATCCCCGGTACCTGCAAAGCTGAAACAGCTTGGGGTCACACTGCCAAACAAATTATGACGACCTCGCCATCTCATTTAAGGACCCTGCTGCGTCACGCCGCCATTGGAAGCGGTGGAAGTAAAGCTACCTTCGCTAAACTCAACTCCACTGCATCCTTTGTACGGCTCTTGGGGCACTCAACTCTAGCGATCAAACCATACTTAAAAGAGGCGGCGAAAGCATGTAAGAAGCGCACCACTCATCATGCTTTTCCTGAAGCTGCCATCATGCCATCATGACGACGAACACCATGATTCTAGTTGCCTTACGGCATAGCTGGGCTGGCTGCGACAGGTGCTGGTGGTGTAGAACCGTGAAACTGCCGGAGCCATCTGGGAAGTCCCTATGGATCACCTTGAGACCACCAACCATTCACCCTCAGCGTGAGTATCTGAAAGCCTTGAACTCATCAGCACGGGAAAACACATGAGCTGTAGTCTAAACTCCTAGTATACCTGTTAATAACTCCTATAATACTGCCTTACAAAATACCCTATATAACCCCATTAAGGAGTTTAGACTATAGCACACATGCTGACCAAGTGCCTGACCTTCAGGTCGTCCACCTGCTGCAACAAGTATAAAGCTGGATGCGCGTGCAAGCAAAATCTGAGCTATAGTGTAAACTCCTAGTATCCCCCTTAATAACCCCTATAATACTCCCCCATATACTCCCCTTGAAGGAGTTCAGGCTATAGTTCATTTGGTGCGCTACCTCCTCAAGGCCCTTAAGAGGCGTGTCCAGCGGTTGCGACCTGAGCAGCACATTCCTCTCAATGCTTGCAGAAACCCCAAACCCTACACTCTAAACCCATTTAGGGGTTTCCCAAAAATAGGGGCCACTATTTTTGGGGTCCCCATAATAAGGACTATAGTATTTTGGGGTCTATATTGGGGTTCCCCTATTTAGGGAAACTGCCATTTAGGGTTTACGGTTTAGGGTTTAGACATTCCTATCATTCCTCGCAGCTGGAGGGTTTCCCAAAATTGGGGGTACCTTTTGGAGGGTCCCAACAGTATGGACTAGAAGATTTGGGAGCCTATATTGGATTCCCGTATTTTGGGAAACTCGCATATAGACCTTGTTATAAATTACAATTGATTCCATCTTCTTTTGCATTATCCCTACATAATCTTTTTATAACGTCTATATATACCATATTACCCAGACAAGTACTGTGGATGTGGATGAAACCCTAAACCATAAACTCTATGATTGATCCTGAAGCTCGCACATGGAGCCAGAAGCATCTGCCTCTGCCTGGCAGCTTCAAGGACATTCGCAACACCCCAGCAGTCAACACGACTTACTGATTCTTTAGTAGGGGATAAGGGAATATACCCCCGATATGATCCCCATATCACATATTTCGACATTCCCTACCATAAACCCTCAAACCCTAAACCCCAAATTTCCCACATTCCCTACCCCTGTCATACTGAAGTAGCTTCCATTTTCTTTTCCATTATAAGAAGTCTGGGCTTTATAAACCCAGTTTCCATTTTATTTTCCATTATCCCAATATAACCTAAGAACCAGCAAGACAAATTACAGCGGCCTTGGTTGTTTCTGCGGGGGCTTCTGGAGGAGGCTCAATTGCAGCATCCTCCGCACGCCTTGCCCAAAGCCAACGCCACGGCGCTTGCACTCTATATTGCAGTAGATTATACCATAGTATAATATATTGTACTATATTATCGTATAACGTACCGTAGTAAAGTATATTATAGTATAAGATAATATACTCTACCAGAATATAGTATATCATATCATGATATGGTAGTTTCCCAAAATAAGGGAACCCCAATATAGACCCCAATATACTATAATCCCTATTATGGGGACCCCCAAAAAGGTACCCATAATTTTGGGAAATTCCCATATACTTGCAGGGAGATCGCCAGGGCAAGCCAAGTCACTGCCGTTGATCCTCCTCCGCCATACTGGCGGGACTTGCTTTGAACAAGTGGTGGAGGTGAACTGCGAGCCAGATTGGCGGGTTTAGGGTTTAAGGGTTTAAGGGTTTAGGGTTTTAGGGTTTTAGGGTTTAGGGTTTAGGGTGTAGGGTTTAGGGGTTCAGGGTTGGCGATGGAACGGATTTCAACAACCTAGAAATGACAAAAAAAAGGTCAGCCAACACTCCACCCACCCACCCACCCAAGAGCATAGCTATCGCGATCTGAAGGCAGCCGGTCTTTTTCCATATCTGTACATGACATGTACCCTGCTATGCAATAAGCGTAGCATGAACAAACCTTTAGCTCTACAAAGGCAGTGGTACCGCCAACGAATTGTCCCTGCAACACCATCGCATACACCTCGTCACGAGGTGACAAAAAACATTGGGCAAGCCATGCTCTACTTGGGCGACTAAGAACAAAGGCTGCGAACGCCCTATGGGCGTGAACGCTTGGCCTCTGCCTCTACGGAGCCGTTGCAAACAATGCAGCGTTTATGTGCAGATTTTCTGTAGCTGCATCAGCTTAGAGGAAGCTTGATGTCGCGTATTGGCTGCACACAAAACTGACAAAACTGATGTTGGCTCCTTATGCGAAAATGATGGGTTTGTGGCAACTGAGCTTTGTACTTGACAAGTGCGGGCCTGGCTTTTGGGGTGGTAGTGTCTGGGCTGGGGGGCTTCATCAGGCTGCCACGCGCAGTAGGATCAGTCCTGAACTGCGATACACATTAGGTGATCTCCCCACCCACTATTATGACCACAAGAAATAGCGGTGATGAAGAGTGAGTTCCATTTATTATACTACTACGAATGGGTGGGAGGACCACCTAAAGACGTGTCTATGTGCGACTTCGGGCGCTTAAAGCGGTTCGCATCCAAAATTGACCAAACCTGTTTTGGCAGGAGGACGTGGCCTCATCGCGACACAGGAAATTCGCGAAAGCCTGATCCTCAAACATAGAGCTGCTGGAGCTCAGGGCAATTCGGGTAAATTTCCCAAATTCGAAGGCAACCCGCAGAAGATGCCATGTATTCTTGAGGTATCATGCTTGGCGGGTGCCGTCAGCCAGCATAATAGCTGGCATAGCTGGATGGGTCCATCCCAGCCCGCCCCCAGAACTCAGTGTAGAAAAGGACACGCTATTGCTCAGCAATAGTCCGTTAAAGTTCTACCCTCCCGGAAACTAACATGGAAACCCAAAAAGGGCCCTATAAAGACTACAGTCCTTTTAAAGGGGGGCTATATGGGTTTCCATGTTAGTTTGGGGGAGTGTATCATCCAGAGGCTGCCTGACCAGGAGATACGAGCAGCAAGGCACTTCAGTCATGTCCACAGCGATCATTCAAAGGCATATGGGGGTTTCAAAAAACAGGGTTTGGGAACCGCAACACGAGCTATAGTCTCAACTCCTAGTATCCCCCTTAATCACCCCTATAACGCTCCCCTATATAATTCCCTATATAGCCTCCCCTTGAGGAGTTTAGACCCGAAACCCTAAACTCTAAGCCCTAAATCAGTAGTTTCGATGTTCTTTTCCATTATCCCCTATATAACCCCATATAAACCCTAAATAATCCCCCTATATAGCCTCCTTTAAGGAGTTTAGACTATAGCTCATAATATGTTCAAACAGCATCTATCTGAGGGCTCGGCCTTGTGCATCATTCCTTTAACCAAGCGTGTTCGAGTGCCTGACTTGATGCATCTCGCTGCATGGGACCGCTCAAAGCAGGTTTGCAGGTTTCGGGGGGGCTATATAGGGATAGTGGAAAAGAAAATGGAAACTACCATATTACAGGGTTCTATAGGGGTTATATAGGGTTCTATGCAATGACAGGGGGGCGGGGTAGGATGACTGAGATACCGCGGCTGAACAGTACGACCCTCAAATCCCTAACTATTGCATACACCCACACAGCTGAAGACACGGCAAGACTCCTCCAGAAGCGCAACAATGACTGGATCAAATAAACCCTAAACCCTGAAGCCTCAAACCTAAACCCTATTGGATCCCAAAACCCTAAACTACAAGTTCACTGCGTGTAGCTCTCCAGGGTTCAGAATGATTTTAGGGTTTAGGAGTTGGGGTGATATGGGAGTTTCTCAGAAAAAGGAGTACACTGGGGACCGCCGGGATATGTGGGGGCTATGTAGAATGTCCAAAGGTGCCCTTAAAGGATTACATGGGGATTGTTTCGAGAAAGGTCCATAAGCGTCTGATGACAGTTTCAAACCTGGTCACAATCTCCTGCTATCGATAATGATACCCGTCCTACGGGAACAGCTCATCATGGGTTCAAGTAGTACCCCCCTCTATACTACCCCCCCGACATTCCCCCCTTAATTAAGGCTATTTAGGGTGTTTAAGCTCAATTAAGGTTAATCCGCCGACCTTGGGGGGCGTGTTGGATGGTTGCCGAAGGCGGAGAGGGTGAAAACCCTCTTCTTTTCTCCCTTACAGCCCCAAAACGCGGGGGGGGGTGGGGGGGGGGGGG